TCTCCTGTTGCAGAGTTCAATTTTCTCTCCCTCAGGCAAACTGAACATAGCAACAGCAAAGACAATTCTGAGTAAAACAGCCACAAGAAAGTGACTCAGTGTGTGTTTTTTAGACATACACTCCCAGACTGATCTCCCTGCCTGGTTAGCTGCAGTGGGAACATCCAGTCACCTCTGAGAAGGAAGGCATGTTTGTTTCAACTGTTCTACCTTAAATAAATGCCCAGGAAATCAAGTAACCACCCCCAAACCAAGCTCTGCTATTGCGATGGAACTCAGGAACCAGGAACTTTCTTCCCAGATGAGCTGATGGCTCCATCGCCTGGAGTAAATTCTGAGATTTTTCAGTACCCACTACTTATCTGTGAAATGAGCATTCTCTGATACAAGAATTATAAGCTTCCTTCCAGTTAGAACATCCTAGAATTTTAGTTATTAGAATGCAATGACTATCCTCCAACTATATAAAACATGCTTGAATTCAAAGACACAATGAATGGATCATAATCTAATCCAGAAACAGGTTATTTTTTCCATGTGGTATCTTGAAGCCCAGTTCACATCTACATTTCAAGAACAAAGAGAATGGCTGATGAGGAAAGTCCTATTTCAGCCTATCCTTCACTCTACAGATAAAAGGAAAACCTGAGAGAAGCAGACTGTCCAAGTCGCTCCCCAGATAGCCTCAGGGATGAATATTTAACTCATCTTTCCCATAATTTGTTGAATTCCGTGTACAATGAAGTGCTGGCTGGTACGAACACAATGAGAAATTAGACAGCAATCCTAATATTAAGATTCAGCTAATCAGGATAATCAGGAAACATTTTTAAATACTACTTGCAATACAGTACACTAAGGGTGATCATTAATAAATGCTGTCACAAGTAGCGTAAGGATCAAATGTACTTTATTTTGACACAATGTCTGCATTTCCAAGAAAATAGTATCTGTGTACTAAAACCATTCAGCGAACAAAGATAAAATTAACTGCCTCTGAAAAGCTGACATTGAAACAGGACCGGAGCTTTCGTGCTAAATAAAGACATCAATTTGTCCACTCTTTATACGTAAGGTAAAATCATGATGGGATGTAAAGGGAAATAAAAGTTAATGATTTTGGAACAAAGCTGCATGATGCCAAGTGCTCCACTGGGAATAAACAGGCCAGGAGCAATCAGAGGGTTCCATGAAATGAAGGTCAGTTTCCAGTCCATTCTGCAGAATCAATACAGCGCCTTGGATTTGCAACAGGTATCATAAGTCATAGAATGACCGGGCCATGTATCAACTTCTACCCTGCATAGCTCTCAATGCCTCTCATCGACAAGCATTGCTGAGAAAAAAAATCTGTGATCAGAATCTGCAACTGGAGTGGAATACTGCCCACAAATAGACTGACAGGGAAACAGAGTGGACAACCAACAGCAAGTAAAGTACCATCACTTTCCAAAGACCATATGTCAATTACAGAATTGATTTCCAAAGTCACAATTGAAACTGCCATCAGCGGCTTTTTCTGAACATCCATTTCATAGATGAGGTTTATCTCAATGAAAAAAGACATTATCCACAAATCAGAAAGGTCCAGAGAATCATACTAATTTCAACCTTCTTCTTGATATCAGATTTTTTGCTGGAAAAATATTTGAAGAAATAGAATAAGAAACAGAGAAAGGGAGCAATAAGGACTAGGAAATATCATTCATTCTTCATATATTTAACTGAGTCAGGCACTAACAGTGAACAAAATAGTCAAAAGTCCCTGCCTTCCCTCCCCAAGGGGAGACAAAATAAACAAGCAAGTATGGCATAAGTAACATAAGTAAGAATGTGATATAAGTATATGATATAATTAAGTATAATAACAAGTAAGTATGTGAGAATGTTAAAAGCAGAATGGAGAAAAACAAAGCAGAGAAGACAAAGGTAATATTTGGGGAGTAGAACTTCATCAGGCTTCATTGCTCTGAAAGTGCTCACCTCCCAAGAAACAGTAGACAAACACTGGGCCTCCAACTCCTGTTTGTAGTTTGACCTTGTTGAACCAGCAATCAAAAACTATGCAAAGCAGGCATTCATGACAAACAATCTCCAACTCCCATCAAATTGATGTGATGGGCCAGAAAACAAAACTCTGAACTCCAAATAATAGATATCATTTCCAAAATATTTTCTATGATCCAGACACCATCCTAAGTGCTTACGTATGTTAAATAATTTAATTCTCACTTCACCTCAGTAAGCTATGTTTAGTATCATCCTTGTTTTTCAGATGAGAAGATCAAGACCAAGACAGTAACGTTCATTCTATGACAGTGGAGTTGGGCTTTGAATCCAGATGTTCTGGGTCCAGAAATTGTGCTCTTAATGATCACTATACAACCTCTGCTACCAACAACCTCTGCCTGCTCTGGTCGCCTAAGTGATGCTGATCTCCAGCCATGTCCTTGCATCTAATAGTCTACCTGATATACACATTTGGATAGCTAATGGGCAACATGAAACTAAGGCATTCAAAATAAAACTCTGGATCCTTAATATTAATATACCCTTCCCTCCCCCTTTTTCCCACCTCTGCATATCTGCTCTCGGCCCAGGCTTCCAGAACTCTCTTTATAAATAGCATACCATTCACACAGCTCCTCAAGTCCAAAAATTAACCCTTGATTTTTTTTTTTCTCTTACACCCTTGATCTGATTTGTTTGAAAATCCTCCAAAATATTTCTTAAATCCAATGCCCTCTGATCATATCCAGGCTGCTGTCAAGTTTAACCTAAAGAACCAGAGCAGCCTTAAAGCTGGTCTACCTACTTCTCTCTTGCCACCAAGAGTCAATTCTCCCTCCTGGCAATTGAAGTGATCATTTAAAAATGTAAATATCAATAGAGTGAACAGACAACCTACAGAAGAATGGGATAAAATATTCACAACCTAAACATCTGACAAAGGACTAACATCCAGAATCTATAAGGAACTCAAATCAGAAAAAAGAAAAAAAAAATAACCCCATTAAAAAGTGGGCAAAAGACATGAACAGATTTTTTTCAAAATAAGATAACAAATGGCCAAAAAATATATGAAAAATGCACAGCATCACTAATCATCAGGGAAATGCAAATTAAAACCACAATGAGATACCACCTTACCACTGTGAAAACAGCCATTATTTAAAAATCAATAAACCATAGACATTGGCACAGATGTGATGAAAAGGGAATGCCTAAACACTGTTGGTGGGAATGTAAATTAGTACAACCTCTATGAGAAATAGTATGGAGATTCCTCAGAGAACCAAAAGTAGACCCACCATTTGATCCAGCAATCCCATTACTAGATATCTACCAAAAGGAAAAGAAGTCATTATATGAAAAAGACATCTGCAGTCATATGTTTATCACAACACAATTCACAATTCCAAAGATATAGAACCAAACTAAGTGCCCATCAGCTTATGAGTGGATAAAGAAAATGTGGCATATATAAACCATGGAATACTACTCAGCCAGGAAAAGGAATGAAATAATGTCTTTTGCAGCAACTTAAATGGAAATAGAGACCATTATCCTAAGTAAAATGTCTCAAGAATGGAAAAACAAATCCCACATATTCCCACTTATAAATAGGAGCTAAACAATAGGTAGACATGGTCATACGAAATAGTATAATGGACACTGGACACGAAGAAGGAGGGGAAGTGAGGGGGCTGAGAGATCAAAAATTACCTATCAGGTACAATGTATACTATTCTGGTGATGGGTACACTAAAAGCCCTGATTTCACTACTATACAATTTATTCAGGTAAAAAAAACACTTATACCTTCCAAATCTATCAAAATAAATAAAATTTTTAAAATACACATCAGATAATGTCATGCCCTGCTCAAATCACTCTGATATCTTTTATATTAGTCAAGGTTCTTCAGAGAAACAGAACCAACAGGATGTATAGATGCAAAAAGAGATTTGTTTTAAGGAATTGATTCACATTACTGTGGGAGCTGGCAAGTCCAAAATCAGCAGGACAGGCCAGCAGGCTGGAAATTCTGGCAAGAGATGTTGTAGACTTGAGTCCAAAGGCTGGAAACTCAGGTAATCTGGAAGCAGAATTCCTTCGTCTTTGAGGGATCTCCGTATTTTCTCTTATGACCTTCAACTGATTGGTTGAGGCCCACCCCACAACATGGAGGGTAACCTGCTTTCCTCAAAATTTGCTGATTTAAATGTTAATCACTTTTAGTATGGAGATACCTCAAAGAACTAAAAGTGAACTGAAAAAGAAGTAAAAACTAAAAATGGAGGTCCCTCAAAGACGAAGGAATTCTGCTTCCAGACTGCAAGACACCTGCGCCCGAATGTTCATAGCAGCACAATTCACAATTGCAAAGATATGGAAACAACCCCAAGTGCCCATCAATACATGAGTGGATTAACAAAATGTGGTCTATTTTTATCCTGGAGGTCTACTCAGCCATCAAACAAGATAACGAACTAATCAGTACCTCTTGTACTAAGCTAGATGAAACTGGAGACCATTCTCCTAAGTGAAATATCACAAGAATGGAAAAACAAACACCACACGTACTCACCATTAAATTAGAACTTATCTAACAACAATTATGTGCCCATACAGAAATGAAACTCTTCAGAAGTCAAGCAGGTGTATGGGGGAAGAGGGAATGAATAAATTCACACCTAACAGGTACAATGCACACTATCTGGTTGATGAGCACCTTATAACTTTGACTCAAACCGTACAAAAGCAATTTATGTAACCAAAACGTTTGTACCCCCATGATACTCTGAAACAAATAGTTTTTTAAAAATGTTAATCACTTCTAAAAAATACCTTCACATCACTTCTAGACTGGTATTTAACCAAACAACTGGGCACCACAGCCAAGCAAAGCTGACACATAAAATCAACCATCAGAGATTCCCATTACATTCAGAACAAAGTCCATGTCCTCCAGGCTTCATTCTATTCTCTGCTCTTACCTTCATTCTCTGGGTCACTTGGGCTTTTTGTTGCTCCGGGTACATGACACATGTTCCCTCCTGTCTGCAAAAACAAAAACAAAAAAAAAAAGGTGGTCTTTTTTTGCTCTTCCTTTCACCTGGAATACTCTTACCGGAGACTTCCACATAGCTCTTGCCCTTGCTTAATTTAGATCTCTGCTCTCATACCACCTCTTCAAAGAGGCCTTACCTGACAAGCTTATCACAAGCAGACCAGGACCCCTTTACTGTTCTTTATCCCTCTCTTGGTCTGTCTTCATTGTACTTACCAGTGCCTGGAAGCTTATTATTAGTTTGTTTACTATCTCCCTTCTCCTGCTAGAATGTTAGTTCTAGTTTTATTCATTGTCTGGTAGGGTCATTTCTGCCATACTGTAGGTGTTGAATGAATGAAGGACAGCGTGAAATATATCTTTTTAATCCTTTCGTAGAAAGAAACTGTGGAAGTATTAAGAAATATTAGAATCACTTTTCAAATACTTATGTGAACGAAACTATAAATGATACTACTTTTGTTGTAATATATAATCCAAGCAACATGTCTTTTAATGCTTTTTTTCTTGTTTTTTTTTTTTGCTCAAGGTTCTTATTAATCTTTTCTGTTCGTGATTTCTTTTTTAACTTGAGGGCCATGGCTCTAAATGTTCTTTTCCTCCTAGAACATTATACCTGGATCAACCCACCTAATCAAAGCTCTTTCTTTGTCTTAGTATTGTGAATTGTTATATTAATAGCCCATTCCATACCTTAAAGACAGCATTCAAGCTGGGACTGGTATTTAGAGAAGGATGAAAAAAAAATTAGTGGAGCCAATAATAAAAACTCAATCATACAGTCATAGTTAAAATTCTTTGTTTTCAAAGAAATTACTCATTATTCCTTTTATATGAGTGATCCAAGAGGATTTTGAATGTTCTTAATCCTCAGTTTGAAAATTAGGGAATCAAAAATATTAATGCTATCAAATTCTATACTGAGTCAAAAAAATAACTTCTGGAATTTGAGGGAAACTAATACAAATGTACCGTTTGACTCCTCTGTGTTTGGCATAGAAGGGCATTGCTGGGCATTTTATAGGCTGTATTTCATTTTTTCCTCGCAATAAACAGAAATTCAGAATGTGGACGGCATGCACCCACCCAGAGGTATACAAATACCCCTCTGAGCTTTACTTTCCTTAGCTGTACAACAACAAGATTGGGATTCTATAAAGTCCATTCCAGCTCTAACAGTCTGTGAGCTAAAATTAATCAAAACCTTTTTGCTTGCCTCTCAAATTTCACTTCACCTTATTTTTTCTCAATTAAATATCATAATATTCTACTTAGATTTTTCCCCACATTTAAGAAACATTTAAAAACATCTTCTCTTTCCCTTTTGTGTCTCCTCTTTGTACATCCCAGCGGTCTCTACTTCAGATGCAGCTCTGGTTTGTGTTGGGTTTTATTTCCTTCAACTTTCTTCTTTCTTTGAACAGCAGGTGCCAGAATAACAAGGCAGTATGAAATTTACAGAAACAATGTGTTTATTCAGTCGGCTACCTTATCTAAAATGTAATGCTCCTCAGCCCTAAATCAGATGTCTTGCCATATGCTGCAAGGTACAAAGAAGATTGTGAAAGGCTAGTACCTATCATTTTTTGCACAGAAGTATGAGGCTCTAAAATTACTTTAGTAAAGTACAAAAATTTCTACGCATCTGTTTGCTGTATCTTTATGGAAACTAAAACACGCTTAAATTGAGATGATTTCCTGTTTACATTATAAGGTATTTAATAAGGTCCCAATTAAAAACTAGTCGCAGCATTAAGAATCCTCTTATTTAAGCATATTAAAACACTTAAATCATATTGGAATTCCTCATAGAGCTGGGCTATAAAATGTAATTATTCTTTGAACAAATAAACGACATTTCAAAATTACCACCTTTCCTTGCGAAATTTGAGATTGTTTTTGTGAGAACCTTCTCTCAGATAGATTTGTTCTATTTTAATTAAAGTTGAACAGAAAAGGTTTTTGTTTTAAACCACATATCTAACCCTATAGAAAACTCTTATTTAATTCTATTGAAAGATGTGTTTGAACTTCTCCTGAATTTGATGTATTAGCCATTGCTTATTACCTGCCTCAGGTCAATGGTAGGAAAGCTGATAAAGTAGTTGTATTTTCCTATTTTCCTATACCTGACATTTCTAGACCTCTCTTCTCCTGTGGCACTATTACCCCACCCAAAATGGACTTGAGTTTGTATAGTCAGTAAAAGCATAATGGAAAAAGGTTATTTCCTGTGTTCAAATTCAACCAATGCTCCTACAGTGTAGGTAGACTTGTTTTAAGGCTTATTCCTGCATCACAGGCTTCGTATTAACCATGGTAACTTCCAACAAACTAAGTTGTCTGTTTGGATTTAGGCAGACAATTGAGTGGCACCCACAATAAATAGGGCGAGGGCAGTCAACTAAATGATGCATCAAATTCCATGCACTTATTATCTCCAGTTCCCCACTAAGCATCCTGGTGAGCACAGGAGGAAAAGACACATTTCTTGTCCTCAATGAGTTTATCATGATTTTAGGAGCCTGAGAATTCCTCCCTGTTCCATATTATTTCCCCCCAAAATAGCCTAATGCGGTCTGAGACCAATCCCTTTGGAGTTAGGCAGTGAAGGCTAATGTTAGAGCACCAGTAGACAATCTCACTAGCATTTGGTCCCTTTAGAGTAGAGTCCAGGAGGGTTGACCCGGAGCAATCTCAGGATTCTCTAACCCACCTAACCCCAATCCTGCTGATAATCAGAATCACCTGAAGGGATTTTTATTAATTCAAGAGGCTTTACATGGAATCCAGGAATCTATGTTTTTCATCCAGATTTGGAAACTAAAACCTTGAGTTTGTACTCTTGCTTTCTCTTACTTCCTTTCATGTTCTCCCCTCCTTGTTAACCCCTCTTCCTCCTTCTCCTCTCTCTTCTGCTCCACCTCCTTTCCACCTCTTCCTCCTCTTTCTCTCCCTTCCTCAAATAAATAATATAACTAAAATATTGTAAAAGTGGTTTTCCCCTAAATTATCTTATAGGTGAATTTTCTAAATATGATGGCCAGAAATATTCTGCATCTGTGCACTTTAACATTTATTTATGCCTATCTTATTACTAGGAGTATTCAGATCACATGTGTAAAATATCAAAGAAAAGCCTGGTAATTTATTACATAAAATACCAAACATAATCCTTGATTTTTTTAAATGTGAACACTTTATCACAGGCAGAAACAAAGGGGTGCTTAGGTCATCCTACACCCAGGAAATCTGAGACATTTGTAATACTCATTACATTTACATTCTAATAGTCACAGCCCTTCAAATATCTTCTCTGTTATTTCAGACACACTTAGCTTATATAAGTGTACAGTATCTTAATAACCCAGTAGTAACAAGTTGAACACAAAAAGTAATGATCACAGTCAATTAGAACACAGAGAGCCCATAGAAAAAGCCACGAGTATATGGCCATGCTAAAATAGGGAAGGCTGTGTTGGTACACACACAAACTTTTGGAGCCATCTAGTGTGGCATATTGAACATATGTCATTTGTATGTCCTACAATCACATTTAGTTAACATCAAATTAATTATCACAACAGTGTATCTTGAAAGGGAAGAAGGTTTTTTTAGTATATTTCAAGAAAAAAATAGGAAATATTAGTTTTATGCTGAGGAATGGTTGGTGGATATTAATTATGAGAGAGAAATTATCAGTAAGCAGATAAAGGAATAAAGCTGGAAGAAAAGCATCCTTTATTAAAATGGGAAAAACTATCAGTTTACGTTAGATACATGGAAATGAGATTTTACTTGTGGTACTGTGTGTTGGGAAATACATTGCATATTAACCTTTGTTAATAGAATCAGTAAGAATTACAGAAAAATGTCTATACTAGTAATAAGTTTCTATTGGGAATGTATTTTGGGGTGTAATACTTAAGCTACAAAAGTAGCTTAAGTATTGACATTTGTGTGCCCAATTAAGAGAATCGGGAGTTTTACATTTTCTTAGGTAGTAGTAGCTTCCTTTTCATATCTCATCTCCTGTTCTGTTCTCCTTTGGGCCCTTTCTTAATGCTTAGTGGAGGCCTTGGAAGTTAATGTCACTTTATCCCTATTATTATGATTCTACTTTGGAGTATTTTCCCAATTCCCATTTATGTCACACAACAGTTTAAAAAACAGGATTCTCCAGAATTCTTTCTGGAGTCCTTCTCTCCAGAAGTCTGTTTTCTGTTTAAGCAGAAAATCAACAGCTTTTTAAGCCATTCATGTGGCCTCTGAGAAATGGGGCTGCTGTGATTGGTGACTCAGTCCCAAAATACCAAATCCTCTCAGAACAAGGCAGAGAGATGAGCGGAGCATGGGTGCCCAGGTAGAGCGCTGTGGGCTAAGCTGTGTCCCCCCAAGAATTTATATGTTAAAGTATTAACCCCCAGTACCTCAGAATGTGAGTCTACTTGGGGTCTTTAAAGAGGTATTTGAGTTAAAATTAGATCATTAGGGTGGCTCTAGTCTAGTCTGACTGGTGAAGAGGAGATTTCCTATTTAGGACACACAGAGGAAAGATCACATGAAGACACAAGAAGACAGCCACCTACATGCCAAGGAGCAGAGCCTCATAAGAGACCAACACTGCTGACAGCTTGATCTTGGACTTTTACCCTCCAGAACCATGAGAAAATTAATTTCTGTTGTTAAAGCCACCCAGTCTGTGGTACCTTGATATGGCAGCCCTAGCAAATGCACACACACAGGTATCCTCAAAAGCAGAATTCACCTCCTACTTTCCCACACACAGAGGAGACATTGCCTTGAAAATGTGAGATTTTTGTCCAGAGGAAGGTTCAATCAGCTTCTCAGCTCTTACATTGATGTAGTAACATTGGCAGTATCTTTACCATGACTTCTAAAAGATTCATCAGTGAATAAGCATCTTGAAAAAGAAATAGCATCCAAACAAAATGGTGTTTATTTTCACAAAAGCCCACAATTGCCCAT